GGTAAAGTACGGGTTGAATCTGATACGTCAAGAGTGGTTGATCTACTATAAATTGATAAAGGTTTAAAAAGTGATGATCTCGTTTCTGATTGATAATTAGATAATGTCGTGGATGAATTATAATGTGCAAAAGTTGATGAGCATGGTGGAATCGTTGATTTTGGCGCGTTAGGGGTGGCCGAATCAACCAATGACTGAATAGAAGGTAGGTATTTGGATGGCAAAAAAGAGCAGGGAAATATAGAAGAATCAGGCCAGACTTCTCGATTTTCTTCCAAGGAAGTTGAAATAGAATGATAATTACTTGCAAAACTTGAATGTTGATTTTCAGGCCAAAAATTTGAATAATTCGGAGTGGATTGGAACTCCGGAATAGGTGAATCAATAAAACAGCCGTTGCGTAATGTAGAATTTTGAAAACTAGATCTATCAATTTTCTTTCTTGGTTGATAAACATAGTCAGGATAAGTTTCTTCGTGAACTTTTTTGGCCAATTGTGCCAAATAATTGAATACATTTTTCACTTCTGCATTAGCAGTCTTCCAATCTTTTCCAGCAGCTTTTGATACGAAAGCAAGCATAGATTCTTTCATTTTTGGATCTAAACCGGTTGCCATTTTCGCTTGTTCATTCCTACGAAATATCACAAAAGGGTTTTGTGGACGTGGAATCTTTTGTCTATTACGGTTCTTTTTTGGTTTAGGAGCGATCAAATCTTTAATTTCTAGATAAGTATGTTGTCTGATCTTTAAGATTACAGCTGGATCAATGGATGCAATAATTTGGTTGACGAGATCATCATTTGGAATACAAACACTGGTTTGAGGAAAAGGCGCGAAAATTGGTACGTTTTCGATTTTACTCCGTTGCGACATCTTTTCAAAATTAAGTCTCGATGAAATAATATCAGAAAATGTATATACAGTATATATATATTGTATATATGAATAATGATTTACAAGAATTCGACTTTTTTTTTTTTTTTAATTCTAAAGACGAAAAAAAAAAGTTTTTGTATTTAAATGTTTTGTTGACAAAAACATGTGAAACATAATTGGTGAATGTTACAGTATCTTTTATCTAGTATTGTCCGAAAATCATCCCGTGAATTAGCAAGATTCAATTCATTCTAGTGTCATTGTTCCTATGAACGAATGCAAATTATGAAACATGTTCATTCTTGACTATTCAACAAAAGTTATAGTGATTTTAACAATTCATTGGCTTAAATCCGATGAATGTAGAAAATCTCAGATAACACTATGTATTAAATATTATCATAACAATTATTTTTTCTTTAATAAAAAAAAAAAAAAAAACAATACTTTTTTTTTTTTAAAAGATTTTTTTAAAAAAAATATAAATTTTTCGGCTTTTTTTTTCGGAGAAAACATTTTTTTGGGCGTTTGCGGAGGAAAATGCACCGACATTATTTAGCTAATAAGTGTATTGTTAAATACGTACAAAAAAAAATAAAAAAAATAAAAAAATAAAATAAATCGGTTTTTTTGGTTAAAATTTTTTTGATTTTAGTAAATCAAAGTCCGATACTTTTCAACTAAATTTTGTGGCATTGTTTCTGCCGTTTTAACAAGAACAATAGTGTTTATGGTTTAAAGACAATACAATGAATCATTTGATGTCCAAATCGATGGTAGTCATACTGACCTCTAATTTTTGAACTTGTATTGTTAATGCTAAATGATCGTATGATGTTCGAATAATCGGGTG